AAGCAACAACGTCATTGCACAATCAAATGCTCAAATTAATCTTTTCAGTATCTTTTTAAAATTGCATTATTTCTTTCATGGTAATTATTTGAGTTTTGGGTCTTCCAGAAGAGTTTGCAAGTCAAAAGCAGCAGCAGTGGTGATTGGCAAGATGCGTGTATTTTTCAAGCCAACCCAGGGCCAATTTTGTCATCGTCATCGTCTTAGAACTGCAGAACTGGAAGGGACCCTATGGATCACTGAGTCCAGCCCATCCAGGGAGACATCAGTGGGGAATCGAACTCCCAACCTTGGTCTCTGCAGCCGGAGGCCTAAACCACTGAGCTATCCATCAGTTCAGTTATTATTGTGTTTTAAGTGCCAAAAAAGGAGAGAGAGGTTTCTGGTATTCTTTGCAGTAGGTGCTACAATAACTTTGTAATCTTTGGCAATATACACCTTGACGTCTGTATAGGTCAGGGCTAACATACTGTTTATTCCTATTGGGGCATTATACTAAACACAATGGCTGGAATAGTCTTGCTTAGTGTAGTAACTTGCACCAGAGTAGACATACTGAATCAGTGGGGATTTTATGAGTCAACTCCCCCTAAGTGCCACTGATTCAAATGGGCCCATTCTAGCTGCGACTTAGTAACCTACAGTGGCTTGCAACTAGAGAAGGCTGTATCTCTGGAATGGGACTCACTTTCACTTTTAAAAAATCATGCCTCTGTTCCTTCCTGGAAAAAGAGAAGGGATTCTCCCTTCCAGGAGAACTATCGACTCCATAGATGGAACTGCTGGGAGAGGTTGTCTGGAGTTTGGGGATTCAGTGTAACCAGTATGCTGATTATACCCAACTCTAGTTGTCCTTTCCATCTAGTTCCAGGGAAGCTGTTTCGGATCTAAATCAGTGCCTGATATCTGTAATGGGCTGCATGAGGGCGAATAAACTGAAACTCAATCCAGAAAAGGCAGAGGTGCTCCTGGTCAATCAGAAGGCAGGTGAGAGAATAGGGATGCAACCTGTACTGGAGAGGGTTACACTCCCCTTGAAAACCTGGGTTGGGTATACTCTTGAATTCATCCATGAGCCGGGATGCCCAGTTTTCAGCAGTGGCCAGGAATGATTTTGCACAGCTAAAACTGGTGCGCCAGCTCTGCCCATTCCTTGAGATGTCTGATTTAGCTGCAGTGACACATGCTTTACTTCCATTCTGCTTGGATTACTGTAACACGCTCTCCATGGGTCTGCCTTTGAAGACGGTTCTGAAACTTCAGCTGGTTCAAAATGCAGCCACCCGACTGCTGACTGGGGGCAGTTATAGGGAGTATATGACCCACCCCCACCCCCAGCTACAATAACTACAATGGCTACCAGTCCATTTCTGGGCCAAAGTGCTGGTCATGACCTGTAGGTCCAGGCAATCCAAAGGACTGTATTTCCTCCCCATACAAGCCTTCTGACTCTTAAGATTATCAGAGGAAGCCCTCCTCCTGGTCCCATTGCCATTGCAGGTACGCTTGATTGGGGACATCAGAGGAGGCCTTCTCTGTGGCAGCCTCTCAGGTGATGGAAGAGGCTCTCCCTCGGGAGATGAGGTGATCCTTCTGCAGGCAGCAGAAAACCCAGCTTTTCAGACAGACTTTTAATAATTGCATGCTGGTTCTTATCTAAGTAGGTTTGTTTTTAAAGTTTTAAATGTTTTTAACAAATTTTAAATTATTATTATAGTTTGATTTCTTTTAAATAGTATAATTGATCATGTTTTTAATTGTACTTGTTCTAACCTTGTGAAACACCTTGAGTCCCCTCATGGGGAAAAAGACTGCCTATAAAGGACATTAAGTAAATAAAAATGCATATAAATCAGGGGTGGGTAATTAATTTCTATAGGGGGCCACATGAAAAATCTGAACTGTGTTCGGGGCCGAACCAAAAGGAAAAAAAAACCTGACACTGAGCTAACTCACCTGTCCTCCGTTCCCCCGCAGCCTTCCTCTCCGACTGTCTTCTATCCCACGCAGGCAACGTGATGCGTCATCACGTCGCCTGTGCAAGGATCGCTTACAGCCTTTTGAGCTGCAGAGTAACAGTCAAAACTCACGAGATCCCAGTGTCAGATCTCGCGAGTTTTGCTTACTGCCGTGCTGGGTGACAGGAGCCAGAACTCCGGCTCACTCAGCGGCGACCGGTGGGCCGCACATTGCCCAGGTCTGATATAAATCCTGGGCATCTCTTTCTTGAAAGTAAAACAAAACGATATGAGCAGAGCTCCATCTACATTGCGGTGGATGATCACCGCAGGGCCCATATTCATTTCTCAGAGTTTCCAGAAGCCCAAGAGACATAATCCCAAGCAGCACCGAAAGGGGGAGTCATGTTCACAATGTGTTTAATTTGCATATTTATCATTGTTGTTATTTTAATAAAATGTTCTTTGTTAACTGAAAAATGAGTTTAAGTTTGGAAGAAAAAAGGTTTACAGTGGTACCTTGACTTGAGAACGTCCCTACAGAAGAACGATTCGAGTTAAGAACAGCTCCATTCGCGAAAAGTTGCTTCGACTTGAGAACGGAGCCTTGACTTAAGAACAACAACAAAAAACAAAAACAAAAGAAAACACTTTCTTGCCCTTTTTAAAAAAAACCTAAGTTCACCTTAGGTCAAAAGAAGAAGAAAAATCGCCCCCTAGTGGTAGATACGGATTAACCGGGTTTGCATCAGTTCCTATGAGAAATGGTGCTTCAACTTAAGAACATTTTGTAAGAACGCAGTCCCGATACGGATTAACTTCTTAAGTCGAGGTACCACTGTAAACTGAAAAAGCTACCTTGTGGGGTTATGGTGGGGGCAAGCATATTAGAAGACATCATCCCCCAAAAAACATGGTGAAACTGCACACATACCTCAATGCCAGAGGGCATAAAGGGAGCAAAAATTTAAAATAAATAAATAAAAAGGAAATAACACTCTGAGGGCGTAAGGGAGGCTTTGGAGCTCTATGGAGTGTTGGAAAGAAACAAAAATGTCCCCAAGAGGGTGCCTGAGGCTCACTCCAGCCTCCTGTTTCCTACAGGGCCAAGCCATAAATCTCCGGGAAATCCTTATGAAGACCCCTTAACAATAAAAGGAAGTATTTCTTCACACAGCATGTAAGGTATATTATGGAATTTGTGGCAGCCAGATGTTATGCTGCCTGTCAAATGTGAAAGGAGACCAGACAAATTCAAAAGGAATAAGATCCTCAATGACGACGAGTCATGATGGCTGTATACTGCCTCCAGGAAAAGAGACAGTCTGCCTCTTTGGAGCATCATCCTACTTCTGGGCTCCCTTTAAGCACATGTTTGGTCTCTGGGGGAAGAGAATGGTGGACTACATATGGCTTTTGGTTGGATATACCAGGACTCACTTTGTGTTCTTCCTTTCATTCCTTTAAATTACAAACATGTTACAAACGCCTACTCTTTTCGTTATCCCATTTTTTCTTTAAAAAAACCTGAAAATGGCGTCAAGGTGGGGAAAAGTGGAAAAAGGTCTACCCTTTTCATTATTTGGTGACTTTATGAATACTCGGTTTAGCCATTTAGCAATGGGATCCACCTACAGAGGCAGAGTTTATAGGACCAGACACTGGGAATCATCAAGGAAAATAGATAATAGTACATAATTTGGTTGCATTGACTTTCTTTACCCAGCCCACCATTTAATATTAACTCCAGTGAGGACAATATAAAGACTACCTGGTGTCTCTCTCTTTTCCATCACATAAGAAGCTTGTGAGCCCAGACAGGATGGATGGATACAGCTTTGAGTTCATTGTAAAAAAAAAAAGTCCATATTTTTGAAGTGGATGTGAAGTTCCTAACTAGAGATGGTTGCATTTGTTTTCATATACGAATATCCCCACACAGGTGGCAATAACGAGGGTCCAGCCCCATGGGGCCGGATGGTCCACTCACTGATCCACTGCTGCCGCTGCAATTCTTCCAATGGCTATGCAGATCGTGATTGGTAACCCACTCTTCAAACTTGCAACGAGGTTTGTTCTCCTGCCTCCTGCCAGGAGTGGCTAGTTGATCGCGAACTGCAAAGCCATTGGAAGAATTGCAACGTCTGCAGTAGCAACAGATCGGTGAGTGGACCGTCTGGCCCCATGGGGGTGGATCCTTGTTATCACCACCTATGTGGGGATATTTGTATACAAATGCGAATACCCACATCTCTATTCCTAACTCTCAAGCTGTCAGTAAATCTGCCTGATTGCAGGTGGAATCCAACACCACTATAATGCCTAACAACCCCCCTTTTTTTTTACAATTGCCTTCCTTGGTTACATCTTGACACCTCAAGCAGAAAAGGCCATGAGATCAGCCCTTGCTCTGATTCCCTTTCTCTTCTTCTGCTTACTTGTAACATCTTGCCTGATGAAGAGATAATATTCTTGAAAGCTTTTTTATTCTACACACTTCTTCACACTTTGTAAGTTGGCTTATGAAGGTGTCCTCTCGGCATGGAGTTTGAAACTAGTTCTGCACTGCCTCGTGGCGCAGTGGTTAAACTGCTGTACTGCAGCCAATACTGTGCTCATGACCTGAGGTTCAATCCCAGGTAGCTGGCTCAAGGTTGACTCAGCCTCCTATCCTTCCGAGGTTAGAAAAATGAGTACCCAGCTGTGCTGGGGAGGCAATGCGTAGCCTGCATAATTAACTTGTAAACCGCCCAGAGAGTGCTTGAAGCACTATGGGGCGGTATATAAGCAGCACGCTTTGCTTTGCTTTTTGCTTTTTGCTTTTTGCTTTCATTCCCACCCACAGAGGAGAAGATACAGGGTAGATATCTGATTGGAGTCATAGAGGTTTGTGAAGATTATGGTAAAGCCCAACATATATCCTACAGAGAATTTCACTATCTAGCGTGACTACGGGTCTTAAAGACACAGAAGGCATCAACCCGTTTCCAGAGAATTGAAAAACAGTAATACTGAAAAACAGTAATCCATTAATCATCTTACGGCTTTCTAAGAATCATCCTCATATGAGCATCAGGTCCAATCTGAGAGAGCAGAAGTATGATGTCCTGTAGCTCTTCGTCACATTCTTTTTTCTCTTCCTCCGTTGGCATTGGGGCTTCTTCCAGCTCATCATCCAAAAACCGATAAAACAAGTATTTGTCTTGGAAGTTTTGTTCCTGATCAACTGGAGGCAACAACATGATGTTGACAATTAGTGTAGAAGCAGGGCTAGCCCAAGACACTGCAATGTAGCAGACATACACATACGAACACACATATACACAAATCACAATACAGAGTACCTAAAGCCAGCCAAGTTATTTTGCCACATAAGGCAGAAAACAGCTATCCTTCAGAGATGGGAAAATTTAGTCATAACATATTTTGTTATTAAACATGTTTGCTGCCCTTTCATTATACTCACAATGTGCTCTCAGGGCTGGCTATTCCACTGCCCAACGGTACAGCTGACTGTGAAAGGATGTAAAATCACCCCAAATGGTTTGAACAAAAGGGGGGGGGGAATGCCAAAAGGGAAGAAAAATGTTGGGCATAAAAATGGCCCAGAACTCTCTAGGGGGCATGGCTGACATTTAAACACCATCCCCTCCCAAAAGCCTTTATGGAGAATGATTTAATTTTTGTAAAAAAAATTTTTTTTGAAAAAAACCCCCATAAAAACAGAAACACACACACCTAAAAACATCTAAACCAAGCTCCCCCCCTCCCCACTGGGACCATTTGGAGATATAACTATTTTCCCATCCCTCTATGGAGCCTCTTCCCCTTCCAAAATTGCACAGGTATACATCCTTCCCCCTTTACTAATACAAAATCCATACATTCTACCCAAATACTTATAAAAATATTCTTATGCATCAGTCCCATCTTTACTTTAATATTACACATTAACCTAGCTATATCCCAAACTTCTTTATATCATTCATTTAATTGAAAGTAATATTTTGTTTTCAAATTCCCAGCTACCATTAATCTTGCCACTGTTGCCCAATTACAGTGGTGCCCCGCTTGATGATTACCCCACGACGAATCAGCTTTACGATGAGGTTTTTGCGATCACTATTGCGATCACAAAACGATGTTTAAATGGGGAAAATTCACTTTACGATGACCGGTTGCCTGCTTCGGGAACTGATTCTTTGCTAAACGACGATTTTAAAACAGCTGATCAGCGGCTCTCAAAATGGCTCCCACTGTGCAAAATGGCTCTCCGCTGTGTTTAGGACGGATTCCTCGCTTAACAGGCACCAGAAAATGGCCGCCCTATGGAGGATGTTCGCTGCACAATGAGGCATTTCGCCCATTGGAACACATTGAACCAGTTTTCAATGCATTTCAATGGTTTTTTTTACTTTTGCTTGATGACGATTTCGTTCTACAGCACCACTGTACATTGCTCTTTATCAAAAACTGACAAAAGTGTTATTTTAGGGCATACCTCTAAATCTAACTTAGTTATTTCATTTATTTCCTTGAAAACCGAATTGCCATAATTTCAATATATTCTCATAGTCCTACCCTATATAAAAATATGCACCCATTTTCTGACATCCTCAACACAACCTAGAATAATTAATATCTATTTGATTTAATTTCATCAGAGTTAAGTATCATTTTCAAATGAATTCATAAAATTTCTCCTTTATTCTTACAGACATAGATTTCAGGATTCTTATAAGCCATATATATTTTCAAACCCCGATATTAATTCCTCCCCCAGATCATATTCCCATAATGTTTTAAGCAAGTCTTGTTGGTCCTCTGCTTCCAATAATATTTTATAAATGTTACTTAATATGCCTTTCATTGCCTTATTTTCATCTGCATTTTCCTGTTCTAATACAATTTCTTCAGATTTTGTAAATTCTCTATATTTACCATTTCTTTTTACCAAATCTTTTGTCTACTGCTCCAGCTGGATGAGATTAAACCATGACATCCTCTCTATTCTTAATACTTCTTCTTTTTTTGCTCTTTATTCTCTGCTTTTTCTAAACAATCTTTTATCTTAATAATGGGTTTCTTTCTTAATAGATTAGATTAGATTAGATTAGCTACCCTTCAGTCTTGAGAGACTATGGTAACGTGCTCTGAATAGAGGACTTGGAACAGCGTCTAGTGTGGCTGAGAAGGCCAATTTGAGAGTGAAAATCCCTTCCACACTGAAGACAAATACAAATTGTCCCCAGTCCAGCTCCCTGGTTTTGCTGCTTTTGGGATTGCCTCTCTGTTCTACCAAACCATGAAAGTCCACATTTCCTCTGAGTATATAATATTTGATAAAAATGTCAAAAGACTTCCAATTTCTCCTTAATCTATACTTTTAACTTATTTCATCTATAACTACTCCAATAAAACTCTTAACTTTTTGAGTTGCATAGCAGTCAACATTCTTAAAATTTTATTACTAAAAACAAAACATTCAAAACATTCTATTTTCAAATTTTCTCTGAATTTTCTCTATTTCAATATTCTCTAT